TCATGTGGTTCCAAGACATCTATTTGCCCACAATTGGTTGTCTATTTATTAGTAACGAATTTATGCTACTAATTACTTCGTGTGTATTAAAATGTCGTTGTCTACTTTGGGGTTAGTCACCTGTGTGTTTTGCCGAATGCATTCTATTATAATACCGAGTGCACAGTCCTGCACTACTAAATAAATTCCTCTTGTGTTAGTAAATGGATAGATGTGTGCACTTTGGCCCAAACTGTGACCATGATCACATATGTACATTTTTTAACACTGCTTAGACCACTACTCCCTAGGACGTTAAGTAAAATAAACGCATGTGTGCATGTTGGAGTTAATATGTGTGCATGCACAACTAAATAAATTTAAACCACGGCTAATAACTCAATAAATTTTACCCAAATGACTCGCTCACCATAAGCTTGTGGCGTTAATGAATCAAAGCACGTACGCATACTTGCGTTAAATTGTGTGCGTGGTTAACTAAAGAAATTGCAACCATGGTCATTACCTAAAAAAGGTTCACTGTAGTGGCTAGTTCACTTTAAGTGGATAGGCGTAGTAAATGAATGAATCAATGTGCGCACGTTGGGGTTAAACCGTGTGTATGGAAAACAAAATAAATTTCATGCACGGTTAATTACCACATAAATTTCACAGATGTGACTAGGTCGTTGTTAGCGAATACACTTAGTAAAAAACAACAGTTGTGCACATTTGCATTAACTGTGAGCATGCGCCGCTACGAAAATTTCCCCCATGGATAATATGTTTGTAAGTTTCTCAGGACTGGCTTGTTCACTACTGTCCTATAGGATTAGTAGCTAAGTACATATGTGCATAGTATAGAGAAACAGTATGCAGGGGTGCCAAAACAAATATCAACCGTTGATAAATTTCATGAGATCAACGACTATGTAGTTCAACTTCAAATGAAGTTAGTATTCGTATTCCGTGTGCATTAAAATGTTGTTGTCTCATGCCGTCCCAAAACATCTATTTGTGCACAATTGATTGTCTATTTATTAGTAACGAATTTATGCTATTAATTACTCCGTGTGTATTAAAATGTCGTTATCTACTTTGGGGCTGGTCTCCTTTTTGCAAGTTGGTAACCACTGTTTCATTCCATCTGATAATACGACCATGTCGCAATCCGTTACTTCTCTGCTCCACCCCACCTATACATCAACAGTGTTATTGCGTTAATATTTTTGGCATAATTTGGCACTGGCAGCACTGTTACAATTGCTTTCACTAAGAGTAATGAATGTGTAAATGAGCACTTCCTCAACTAATATTGCAAAGTCTGCACCTAGTCTCAAGTGTGTGCATGTGAGACAATAAACGTGTGCACAGTCACAAGCAAAACCACCCCCCCCCCCCTCCCCACCCCCCCCCCCCCCCCACAACATATATTCTCCATATTTGCTAATATTGCAAATTTGTATATAGAAGTTTCACCAATAGTTCCGCAGTGAGCACGACCCCATTCAAATTTGCCATACTTTTGACCCCATAAAAATTTAAAAAATACCCTCACGGCACAGTGTTTGTTAACACTCAAATGACATACAATAATAAGGGTGAGATATACGGTGTAATTACCTAAGTTTGCAGCATCCATGGGGTCGTAATTTTGTTGGTTTGCGTCGTGAATGGGGTCTGCGCTCGCTTCCATGGTTGCACGGCAGGAACAAGTATCCCTTCGTTAAAAAATTTACAGTGCAAGTGATGTGTTTAAATCCTACTTGTTTTAAACTTCTTAATTATTGCATATTATAAAAACTAATTTTATTCCATATTTACGCTATGACTGCATCCCAATATTGCCCTTGGCTGCTTTAAATATCAATCCACGCTTCATTAGTCATCGTTAATCTAATCCATTGATCCATTTCTTACGTGTGGCTAGATTTAATCCGCACGTTTGTATTTTAAGGGGGTTTGCATGTGAATGCAACCCTATATATATATTGGTTCCTATGAGAACATGTCTTCCCGTGCGGCATACACCATTTGGTTTGCATAAATGCACAATACAGTGTTCGAGAATACACCAGAATGAAATGCCAAAAAATGCACTACACAAAAAAAAAATATACCACACATAATGGTGTATTCTCGAACACTGTATGATGCATTATGCATACCTAATGGTGTATGCCGCACTGACCACACGGAAAGACCTGTTCTCACAGGAACCTGACACCCCCCCCCCCCCCCCCCCACACACACACTTCTAATTCTATATTTGATATAAGCATAATTTGTGTATATATATACTTTAGAAAAATATTCATTATTAAAAAGGAAACGTAATTTAAAAAGTCAATTACTCCGTATTAATTAGACTGCCTAATATAATTGTCCCACTAATTAATTCCATGCTACTATAATTCATACATTTAAAGATTTTAAAGTTAAATACATATTAGCTGCCTTAATAATTAAGTTAATTATTAGTCACATCTATAATACTAAAAGTATTACTTTTAATTTTTATAAATAAGATATAATATTATTAAATCAAAATAATTAAAAAGAATTTGTTCACAGTACAAAATATTTTATAATTGACTTAATAATTAACTATTAATTTTTATTGCCTAATACAAATTGTCAGTTATTAACTATTATTTATGGTAATTATTGCATGCCATGTAATACGAAAGTTGTTAGGTAGAATTTTTATAATTAAGGTATAATATTATTACACTGAAATTATTAAAAATATATAGATCCACATCCACATTAAAAAAAAAAAAAAAAAAAAAAAAAAAAAAAAAAAAAACTTATTAATTTCGGATATTAAAACTATATATTTAAAGTCATATATTTAGATTAAAGTTGAAGTTATAAATAATTAAGTTTCAATAAATTTATTTATTCCCTAAGTTATATACGGTTAATAATGAATATTTTTTCATATTTGATTATGCTTAAATATGATTTACCCGTATTAACCATCACTATATTAGATTAATATATAATTCTTTTAATATAATATATTATTAAATCTAAACATATGGTTAATATTTATTCAATATTATTATGAAAGTATTACAATTATAAATTTTATTATATTTTAAATGACTTAGCATATCGAAGCAAACATGGTAAGCCAATAACATTATTTCACATTAGAAAAGTCATTTTAATCAAGGGAAGTCAGCTAAAGAATAAAATCAAAATAATACTTTATTCAAACTAAGTTATAGTACTTCATAATTGTTTTGTCCCATAAAAAAATGATTAAATGGCAAGAAAAACCTCTTGAAGGGAGAGACAAATCTTATTACATAAAATGCACACTTTAAAGACGAAGAAAAGTCATTTTAATCAAGGGAAGTCAGCTAAAGAATAAAATCAAAATAATAATTTATTCAAACTAAGTTATAGTACTTCATAATTGTTTTGTCCCATAAAAAAATGATTAAATGGCAAGAAAAACCTCTTGAAGGGAGAGACAAATCTTATTACATAAAATGCACACTTTAAAGACGAAGAGATTGAATCGAAACAAAACTCAACGCTTTGATATATTGACAACTAAAAAATGCTTTGAATTTAATTTTGGTTTTACTGTATTCTTATCATGCTTCCATGTATATCTCTTTACATATACACAAAATTTGTCCATTTCCAAACTTTACCACTTGATGAGCAACAAACTATATTGCTTCTTCACAAAAAAATAAACAAAAAAAAAAAGAAGAATATATCAACATTTTTTATTACAAATCACTTTTCTTATTTAAATATCGGAAAAAAAAAAAAAACAAACAAAAAAACAAAACAAAAGAAAAAAAAAACAAAAAAACAAAACCGAAAAAAAAAAAAAAAAAAAAAAAAAAAAAAAACTAAGATAATGAGAACCTCACCCGTGCAAATCACGTATCCGCCTCAACTGTGGAAGATCACATAATGATTAGCAAAAGCCAATAAAATAATTAATCTTAGTTGGAGTTGTGAAGTTGATGGTTGTGTATGGTCATATAAGGTGTATTTATACACAAAGAATGAGATCAAAATGGCTTAATATTGAAATTATAAAATGGTAAGAGATCTCAAGAAAGGTAAAAGCTTCCAATTTACGTTAAATCTCCATTGTTATTTATGTTATTAGGCGATGGGATGAACCTAAAATATTGAACATTGATATTGCTTCTATTCAAATCCAATTTACTTCAGCATATTCGTGTGGCATGTGTATATATAAATACAATAGCATACATAATATATTATTATTCTACCATAACTATACAATATTACCAATTAATATAATTTACTTAATTTCCATTAAATATTTACTTACCAAATAAGATTCATTATTAATGTGACCAATAAAATGAATTTAGGCGGGAAAAGGCTATAGGAGGATTTTACTTTTATATGCTACTGACCCTATGACCTCTCACATGAAAGAGGTCACTACATGCCATCTGAGCACAAGGTGCTTGTCAACATTAATATTTGATTAGTTTTATAAATTCCATGTAATTTATATATGCACTATGCATAAATTCCAAATTTCCTAGTATAATAATATTCTTTTTCCCATATATATATTAAATATTATTAATTGTATATAATATCCATATATAAATAATGGATGATATTACAGAAATGTCCCTAAATTGGGGGAGATTTGGATTGGAGGATTTTACTTTTAATTATATATATATATATATATATATATATATATATATATATATATATATATATATATATATATATATATATATATATTAGGAACAAGGGCCAAATTGGCCACTGAACGTAACGCAATAGTGTAATCAAACCACTGAACTTAAAAAAAAAAGTGCAATTACCCCACTCAACGGTTCAAATGCCTCCAATTTCACTTGTTAGCCGGTTTTCAACCCATCCTTCCGGTTACTTGCTGACTGGGCTGATGACATGGCATTAATAATTGTTTTCATTTATTTTCCTTATTTTTTGTTGCATCCAACGTGTAAGAACAGCTTGTTAACCTTGTACTGCTAGTCCTTGGGGATCTCCACGCCGGGGTCGCTCTTGAACATGGCGAGCCCACCAAGGGTGACAAAGCCGTAGAACACTTTCCCGTCGGGGCCGCGAAAGCTGTCGGTGAAGTGGAAGAAGAAGCATGAGAGGCTGTAGAGGGCGAGGAGGACCAAAATCAGGGCGGCACTCACGCCGGAGCATTCGCCCTTGTCGTACACGCTCGGGAGGACCATTTCGAAGGTGAGGAGAGTTCCGGTGGGAAGAAGTTGGCAAGAAGAGACGTTTTTTAGAGCGTTTTTTTGGACTCCATTCGCCATCGCCCATTTAATCCGACCGCCTCCCGGCGACGGTGGAAGGTCAGAGACGGAGCCCGCTGCTGCCACCGCCGCTGATGGGTACTTGGTGAGGTTTGGCCATGGGGATACTTCATAGATTTTCACCATGAATCCTTTCGTCGTTGGGTCCATTTTTGCAAGATATAATTGAAGGAGATGAAGAAGATATCAATGGAGAAAGATGCAGAGAGAATGGAGAGAAAGATGTAGAGAAAATGGTGGATCTCCTCCGACCACCGCATGCATTTAGGTCGATATCCATCGCCTCACATTGTTAACCATTTCTGTTCCTCTCTTTCTCGCTTTCACTTTCCATTTTCATTGTTCATCATTAGACCAGAGTTATGGTCCAGTTGCAAAAGAAGTGCTTTACCAGAGCTATCAAGTCCAGAAAAATAGCAGAACAACAGCAAAAGAAGTGCTTTTCGATTTCAAAATATTGATTTTGCGTTCCCTGAGATATGAACGCACTTTTGTCGTCCACGTTCTGGCGCATGGACTTCCTCATACTGACTGACGACGCCAGGTTGAGCGAGCTTGAGGATGAGGGATTCATCGTTGGCATGACTCCGGCGGCGAAAGTGAGTAGCATGGGGATGAGGAATTCATCGTGTTGGCATGTATCTTCATGCAGTAGAAGACGAAGAGAACTAAGAGAAGTCGTCGGAGTTGATGAAGATTATTGTTCTTACATGCTGGATGCAACAAAAAATAAGGAAAATAAATGAAAACAATTATTAATGCCATGTCTTCAGCCTAGTCAGCAAGTAACCGGGAGGATGGGTTGAAAACCGGCTAACAAGTGAAATTGGAGGCATTTAAACCGTTGAGTGGGGTAATTGCACTTTTTTTTAAGTTTAGTGATCCTACAAATTATTGCTACTATTAGATAAAGAGTGATCCTACAAATTATTGCTACTATTAGATAAAGATTCATACTCAGTTAAACACAGAGGCTAGACATTTGCTTACTGTGCACAAGGAGCCCCCTCACTTTTGTTGGAAAAATAGCATTAAAATGGCATAAAATGACATATTAAGTGGCTATTTTGTGGTACAATTATCAGTGGGGTCCACTTCCGATTTGGGTCGGGTCAAAGTGGATTCGGGTTCTTCGTAGTGAGACGAAGAGATTGATATATTGCACGCTCAAAACGGATAATGGGTGAATGAGATATTGATTCTCAAAGTAGACCCATTGAGTTGGAAAAATGTAAGGGAAAAGTGAGCTTTGTCCCACATTGATTTGGAAAGAGGATTTCACCCCCCTTTTATACAAGAGCTTTTTTAGAGCTTGTAGAATTGTATAGCATAGAGGCTCTCTCGCACGGGCCATATGCCAACACTATATGGCCACACCACGAGAGATCACCTGAGATCAAGATTTGATCTCTCGTGCGCTGTGCACGAATTTTCGTGCATCCCGAATGTAACTGAGCTGAAACAGCGCGGACCATTTGTTGGTTCTGGACTGTTACAGGATTAATCTTGTATTAATTCCACCTTTTGAATTTTTGAGTTAAATCTCAATAATGGTGGCTGTTTCAGGTGTTACAAATCGTGGATTAAATGCTAAACTAAATGCTATTGATTCCCAGCTCCAAAATTTCTGCTCCTACTCCCTTCTTGTAGCTGTGTTCGTCCCATGCTCTAGTTCGCCGGGTTCGTTCGTTTGGGTGCTCAAACGTCGAACCGTTGTACGTTTTATCCTGGGAAACCTAGGCCACAACGCTCCTAGCACTTTTGGGAGGTGGCAAATAAGGTTTTAAGGAAAGACAGGCACTTTGCCTAACTCGTACGGATCTTTTTTCTTTCTTCTTCTTTCTTGTTTTGGATTATGCTCTAAGCAAAAATCCGTTCTTTCTTGTTTGTTTTGGAATTATAATCTAAGGATTATATTTTCTTTTTGGTTGATATATATTGGTATATCTTTTTCGTAGATATACATGTATATATAACCGTTGGGTCCGTTTTATATATATTTGTGTGTGTATATATATTTCGGATATATATCCAATAATATTTTATATATATTTCGTGTGTATATATATAAATATTATTTTACGGATATTAAATCGATTGTGTTTCATTATCACCAACAACTTTGAGAGATTCCTCCCACACTGTCGCTAATGAGACTCGATCTCAGGTCATTGTTCGCCAACTTTACCCCTATAACCAACTGAGTTGCCAATACAGGCCTGAATATATATTCTTCTAAATACGCGTGTCTTATCAAAGGATACAATATTTTTTAGAAGGTCACACTTGTGTGAAACCGTCTCACGGACCCTTATTCGTGAGATGGGTCTGGTCGGGTCTAATCGAATCAACATGCACATGTCATACTTATATTGTAACAACCCAAAATTTTATTTTATAAATCCAATTTTAAGAAATTCCGAAAATTGTCATTTCCACTCCATTAAAATTTTTGCGATCAATTGGTGTTTGAATAAATTATTTTTGCCATATTTTAAATTAATTTGACATCAAAACTTATTTTATTCCAAAATCCTAAATTTTTGGGTACTTCGCGTACCAAGTTTTAAATTGAGAATTCAATTTGAGTGAAACCGGGAGAATTCAAAAAGATTTTAAACAAGGGTTCATCTAGATAACCTTTTGAGAAAATTCATTTTCAACCCCAAAGTGTTTAAAATAGCATTTCTAGCCCTTGGTTCATGATGCTAGGTGAACCACTTCATTCCAAGAAGCTTTTGCCTGAGAACATAATCTAGCCAAGCTTTTACCATTTTGCCCTCACCCAATCATTTGCTTTCTACCTAGGGTTTTGCACCCTATATAAACAACCCTATTCATTTGTGATCCTTTGATCTCCAACCTTGCCTCCCCCCAAACCTTTGTCTGATAGAAGCAAAAGAGCATTGCAATAAGTTTCAACATTCATTTCCTTCATTCATTTTCCATCCTAGCTTAAGGTTTCCTCTTCTATTAGCTTTCAATCTATGAGGTTTCTTAGTCTTGGCTTGTGTTTGAGATGTTTAGGTGGTGAAGGAGGTGGTGTTTGAGTAGAGAGGAGGTAGACATCCATACAAGAAGAAGAATCTATAAGAGGTATAACCCCATGGACTCCCTCTTTGATTTTGGCTATGTGAAGCCTTTGATATTGAGTAGAAATGAGTAGAAATTATGAGATTTTGTTGTGTTTATGCTTGGAAGTGATCTAGTATTTGTCTTTGAGTTGTTGAGAATGTTTCGGACTTGTTTGGATTGATTTTGCAGATGAAAATGCCCTCTGGTGCACACACAGTGTGCACCATATCAGACCAGCGGCCCTAGCCGCGGCCCATCAGGAGGGCCGCCGGCTAGAGCCGGGGTTACTCGGGTCTAGGGCACGGCCCTAGGAGAGGGTTGTTGCCTAGGCCCGGTATTGTAACGGGACACATGGGGCGGCTCATGAGGAGTCCCGCCCCAGGTCCCTGAGTATTGATCTGTGGAGTTTTTGTGCAGTGGCCGGGCCCTTGCGACTCAGCTACATGTCGTTTCGGGCCAGGTGTCACGGGCCCTTGTGGCTCGGTACCTCGGGATCGTCTCGACGCACGTTTTGGCTTTGATTTCGTTGTATTTGGATAAAAAAATGAGTATGTTATGAGGAATTTACTGAGGAAATTACTACACTGTACATATTTTGTTAGTTCACTGTGTATGAGAAATGCTTGGCTACGTGATCTGATGTTATTTTTATTGAGTAGAGAAGCATGATCATTTGAGAATATGATTTATTATGAATGCATGACTAAGATGTGATATTTGATCAATGAGAATTGAAGCATATTTTGTTGATAGAAATGTATAGAATTTGCTATGTTGCAAACCGAGCATGATATTATATTCTTGAGTATTTTATGGTTTATATACATGGTTTAGAAGCATGTTATAGAGTATTTTGCATCTCACATGTCATATTTCGAAAATGCATAAGGGGCCAACGTGAGCCCAAGTATTACTTTCAAAAAGCCATAAGCATGTGATATATCATTCTTTGATGCATTGAGAAGTAGTAGAGTTGTTGCATACATGAGATTGATGCATGAGAGATATATTTATGTATTATCTATATCGGTGAGGTTTTGGAGGATCCCGTTTGAACTATGTCCTCTCGGGTGATTTTATGGACATTGCGGTCCCAGTATATGTAACTCGGCGTATTCCCACGTTATGAGGTTAGAAACTGCCCGCCAGGCTTGGAATCCTGGTCAGGGGGTGCACACTAAAAGTTCGATACCTGATTCCATAGAGTATGAGTATAGAACCAAGAGAGTGGTTCAGTGGACGAGCAGAGTATTAGGTCGACTAGATGCCGTGCCCAGATAGGTTCATTCACACTATGGTGAAGTTCCTACCTCGTCCATTCAAAGAGAAAGTATGAGTCATTGGGACTCCAAAGAGAAAGAAGTGAGTCATTGCGACTCTAAAGAAAGAAAGAAGGAAAGAAAGCAAGTCATTTATGACTCAAAGAGACCTCCACAGAAAGTACTCTATTTTTTACAACGAGTGTATGAGTGTAGTATTGCACGAGATTGCATAAGAGTATATTTATAGCATTGCACGAGATTGCATATGAGCATGAGTATAGTTTTGCACGAGATTGCATATGAGTATGTTTATAGTGTTGCACGAGATTGCATATGACTATAGTATTGCACAATTTTGCATTTGAGTAGAATATCGTATGAGAGTGTGTAATGAGAATGTTGATTTAAGAATGTTTATCGAGCATGATTGCTTAGTTACATTTTAAGCCTTGTATATCCAGTTTATGTGATGAGAATTTGAGAGCACGAGAATACCTGTTGTTTGGTTTATTAGCATGATACTACTTGTAAGCATGAGTTGCTTGTTAAGTTGTTGTGAAGTTTACATGATTGAAGTATCAAAGTTGTTAAGTCTTATCTATCGAAGCATGTCTGTTGATATTATAGGTTGCAAGCATCTAGAAAGTATGTGATAGATCTAAAGCTGTCTACGAGATGAGTTTATTATATAAGAATGAAATCAAATGTTTTCAATGTATATTCTATAGTACTTTACAGGGTTGAATGTGGTTATACTTAGCTTCGTGCTAACGGATGTTTTCCTATTTGTCTATGTGTTGCTTGCAAAATCCC